TCAAAGTCTGTATTAAATACGGTATATCATTCTTCTAGCACATTACAGTGTATGCCGTTACTCTATGTGAGAGAATAATTTCCCATACAATTCTTGTTTAAAATTAGGTACCCAAACTTTTAATAATCATCATCACTTTAGGCTTTTATTCATTGATCGAAAATTAGCGTTATTTAGCATAATAATAATACGTTTATAATTACAGTCAACGTCTTTAAATGATAAAAATCGCTCATCAATTGCGCTCATTTATAACGTATAGTCTTCATTGATCTGATAATGAAAGTTAGCCTTCATTTTAAAAATCGATACTCTATATTTCAATCGTGGACTATTTGGAACTTTTAGTCCCTATATCGAAATTCGACTATCCTCACACGATTACCATTATCAACAGCGGTACGATATCCACTTTTATTATATTCCCTAAGCAGAAGCCCGGTTTTAATAATAATTTTACAACGTTTAGAAAGGATATCAATTTTTTATTTGTATTGTAAGAATTTCGATAGCATGTTTACATGCTTTGGGGTCCCACCTTTAAAATGAAGCAAAAACCAGGCCACGCCATCCTCCATTGACAGCCTTGAATTTTTGTTCTGCAATCTGCAGTATTAACGTGGTAAAAGTAAAAATAGATCGATTAGATATTAGATATCTCAATTATTCGATGTAAATAAATTATCACAATCGCAATTCGGAATTGTTATCGCTCCTGGATAATTAATGTTAACCCATAGTTTTTGATTTAAACAGTAGTGCGGTAATGAAGGGTACGATGAATGCTATAGCAACTTAATGACGTCACCTATTATTAGCCAACAGTATCATTAGACTGTATTTTATGCAGATAATTTATAATTTTGCAATGTTACTTTTAGGTATCGATAAATACATACCTTAATTTCTGTACTAGACCACATGATAACAACTATTTAAACAAGTAACGTTATACGACTATGATACTTACCTTCGCACTGATACGAAAATAGCAAGCTGCAAAAGAATTTCTGCTAATAGCCCATGAAATCGTACGGTAGTACTTTAAATTTCTACACCAGTTTTGTAGAATAGCTAGTATTTATTGATTCAACACGATAGTCGATTTATCGCTAAAATCTATCTGTATCTCTTTTCATTTTACGCCTAACAATAGAAAAATATTTATTTGTGTTTGCAGGATGTAATATGAGCGCGTTCTAAAGATATACGGAACCTCATAGATAACCAAAGAAACGTCCTATAAATAGATATGTCTATATTATAAGAACGTCCTAGAGTTGTGTTGAATTTAGGACTAATAACATATGAGATAAACAGTACAATACTCGCACATATGTACAGAAGTACATAGATAAGATATTGAGATTCGAAGCCGAAATCACATTCAGAATTAAATTTTCCATCTTAGCGCATTATTTTTGCCGATATTTACTTGATAGATTATCAAATACTTTTGCAAATTTTCTTAATTGTATTGCAAGCATTAAGCCAATATTATTGTTAAGTTGCTAGGTGTAATCATGTGAGTTTATGTAATTATGAGTTGATTATAAAGTTTTTTTATGTCTAGCTTTGCTTCGACGCACCTCTTAACTGCTCAAATACATCATTATCATAGCATGATTAAAAATTATTTTAAAAAATAGATTTGCATTTTAATGTAATGTTTACTTATGATTTCATAACTAGTAATTCGGCTGGATCAATTGGCTTATAGCATGATCTAATGACCGAATACTTGTTTATAATAGGCATTAATGATCGTATAAATGATTTATAGCGTTATCATTTGATCAGTGATCATTGTTACGGCGTTATGATTAGCCTAAAGGTTGATATTGTAAACTGTAATTCTTCACAGTAGGCTTTCAATAGTCTTGTCTTACAGAATGGCTAAATATGTGGTCGCAGATATGAGCCTGATAGACTAATCTTTCCTACTCCTAAAGTCTTATTCGATGTTTCAATAAAATTAGGACGTGTCTGCCATTCATTGCCAGGTTACTATGGATATTAAAGAGAACTAGTGATCTAAATATTATATCTTAAGGACATAAATTTTGTTTAAATTATATTTCTAAAGTAATGCAAATCCTAAAAAATTTCACTAAAATGGACAATAATATCTTATCGGAAACTGCGTAAAGTAGCTTGGCACATTACCCATATAAACAGAAATAAATGCGAGTACTGTACCAGAAAGACACATGGTAGGTGTGGTAAATCAATAAATTATGTAACGAGCGAGCATAGGAGGACAAGATTTTAAGTACATCGTCAGGATCCGGACAAATAACTGATAATTACTTACATTTAGATTTACATATTATCAATAGATATATTGTGCCTAGTTTCAGGACTTTTGCCGACTATGATGATAATCCGTCACCAATATTTACCTTACAGTTAGTTGAATTGGGCACTTTAATTGAGCAATTTGGTTACTGATTGCTTCCTATTCCTGAACTTCCATGCTTTTACTATCACCCCTTTTGGAAGTTAAATATGTATCTAGCTATAAGATCGCAATGAGTAATATTAATGTAGTGTGCTATTCAATTTTTTTTGAGCGCTACGTAAAAATTTAATACAACTTGCAATTATAGTATAAAAATCGCTCAAATTTTCTACTTTATCGAGTAGCATACACTAAATCATATTAATCCTTTCTGAATAAAAAAGCTCGCTGTAATCTCAATTCCATCACAGCTTGACCACTAAATATTTTAGACACTGTTTATTAATATGTTTAGAAGACACCTACATTGCATGTCTAGAAAAATTATAGTTATGCGTTACATTACAAAAAGAGATAATTGCATAATTCAAATTACAAAAATGAGACATGAAATATATCAGTACATCATTATTGCAGTTATAGTGCTATTACATAACCAAGTACTGTACTACAGAACATGGATGAACTTGGTAATGTTTACCGTGAAATTAGATGCTATTAAGTTTAGTGAAATTTTTAATAATAAATAATGAATAATAAACTGCATTATGACTGATATACCTGTTATAGCTAAGAAGTCAGTAGGATTCTAGAAGGTTAATGTAAATTATTAAATACTATAGATTTTAGGATCTCATTTCTTGCAAGACTACTCCAAAAAAAGAATATGAATAGTGTAAAGCGTCTAAGCTAGTAATCCCGAAGAGATAGCTCCTTCGTACTTTTGTGTTCGTTTTGAGAATGTTGTTATTATTATTCTTATATAAATAGCTAAACGGCTGGAAATAAGATACGATAATTCTGTTTTTAGAAAGTTAGTTTCTCATAATAACATCATGGTATGGTTTTTCGATGCAGATGCTATTACTAATTTCTATTTTTGATGCATCGCAAGATCGCTACAATGCAAGGTTAGGTCGGAGAATAAAAATAGCCATTAACAGTCAGCGATCGGTAATTCGTTTAGCACCATTATCGTACACACTTTACTACAACATGACAGATAAGCAATAGTTCGAAATATCAAATACCGTAGGTTGTAGTTATATTGTAAACTCGCCAATAGCTTTTTACAACACCCAATTAATTTTTCAAATAGGTGTTAACAACCGTAATCTATGCATCAATAAAGACTTTCGCAATACTTCTGCCTAGCAAAGCAGTCAAGATTGATAATTTCTATTGCATATCGATATAGCGATCACATTTGTAGGTGACAAGAGTACTAATGCATGAAGATTGATGCGAATTTTAATCTGTTTGCTAGATAATCGTATAAGATTATTCTCAAATTCTAGTTTATAAAACGAAAATCAAAGGTTAAAAATAATTGAAAATTTCTTTTAGTCAATGGTCTGATATGATATTATAATTCTCGATACTACTTATTGCTCTATTCCCTCTTTTCAAATCATTAAGATCATTTTCTTAAAAAAATTACGGAGGATATCAGTAGCAATATAGTTTAAAAGTAATAATGAGCAAAATAGTCTGGAGAACTGCTGGTTGTAGAACTTGTGACTTTTTTCTTAAGGTAGTCAAACGATTTAAGTTCATAACAAATCATTAATACTATTTTATGCTCTATCCTTACCCATATTATAAAATTCATGTATAATTAAAACTTCTTAATGGCAATCTATCTTAATTTGTTAATAAATGATCACGTTAGTTATTATAATCGCTTGAACAGATGTTTCACTTTTAGCATTCTCGGTGCATCATAATTCTGTCATTTCTTATTACTTTCTCACAATGACATTTAAAGATATTAAAGATATTAATAAATTTCAATATTTAACTTAGTTCTCCAAAAGTATTTACAATAAATTTCAGCTCAATCTAGGTACAAATAACGTTAATGATACTATTAATTCTCTTTAATGAAGAGAACAAAAATAGTGCATTTTTCTCTCTTTATGTAAAAGGTCATTATTTGTATCCTTAAGATCAATACATTGATGAAACAGCTTTATACAATATTCTTTCTACTTCTTTTATTTACCTTAAATTGCAAGGCTAAAGAGTCATTAATGATTGTAACGAATGAAAAAGAAGGCAATATACACGTGATAAAAAGACAGACAGATTAGTTAATGGCTTGGAAGATCAAAATTTGCTGATGGATAAAGCATTATTCCAAAGCACTGGATCGTGGTATTAGCCGCAATTGACGGACTATAATATATTAAAGTTGTTACATCCATTTTATTTGTAACAATTTGCACCTAATGATCACTTTTTTTATTAACAGTAGGTCAAAATACTGAAGCATTGTACATTACATTCATTTTTAAGATTACTTTAATTACGGGTAACTTGACCCTGATCGATAGAAGAAATCTTAAAATTTAAATATAGACCATTAGATTAACCTTTCTGCCCTTTTAAAAGAACTTTAAATTTAATAGGCACTGTTGCAAGTTTTCTGAAGGCAAAAAAACTGATGATTGAAAAGTCTTGAATTCTCGCTAGTGGTCGACCTGTATATTTGGACGTTACAATCGAATTCAATCTAGCGGAAAGGCAACAACTCATCATGGAATACTTATATGATCGAACTGCTAATAGAAGTAATTTATCTTCTGAGGCACCGCAAATTTTATTAAGAAATGGCCTAACTATACGGCAAATTTTACATATTATCTATGGTATCTTAGCTTTTGTCTCGATCCTCGGTAATAGCCTCGTCTTTGCAATTATTACTACTCATCGACGTGGAAAAATGCTACAATCTAGCAATAATTTACTTATCGCCAGTATGGCCATGATGGATATGATGACTGGTATAACGATATATGCTACGCCGACATTTGTTTTTCCGGCTGAAACTTATCCATATCCGAAAAATCCATCAGCCTGTGAAGCATTTTGTCGTATTATCGCTTCAGAATATTTACTATTCTATTTTGGATTTGGTTCAGTTATAACTGTTACCGCTATTGCAGTAGAGAGATGGATAGCGATAGCTAAGCCATTAAGTTATAGAAAAATTATGACAACCAAGCGCGTTAAAATTTTCATCAGTATTTTATGGGTATTTTGCCTATTTATATCGGTTGATGTTATGATACAAATTAAATATGAGTCAAATAATACAATACCATGTCAAAGATATGATTTTGCCACCCGTCAGCCCGGAACAACAATTTTCCTCTTATTAGAAGTAGTACGCTTATTCTTCCCCGTTCTTTTAACTTTGGTCTGCTATGCTGATATCGCTAGAAGGATATTATGCCCTAGTAAAGTTAATACTCTAAACCTAACTTCTAATCGTGTAATAGGTATTCGATATAAATCGAAACGAAAAGTAACCATTATGTCCGCTACTACTGCATTAGCTTTCATTTCATGTTGGTTACCGAATGAAATTTATTTTAGTCTTACAGCATTAAATCAAACTATTTATGATCAAACTACAATTCGTATAACTAAGTCATTAATAATATTAAGTTCATGTCTAAGTCCATTTATATATTCTGCAACGAATGAAGAATATAGAAAGGGTCTACGCTCATTATTATCGCCTCTTTGGAATTCAATATCGACAATTTGCAGATTCAGGTATCAGAATCCGTTTCCCGGTAGCAAAAGTAAGAGTATGGTTATCAGTACCTCTGCGGTAGCGCTTTAGAATATGGTACTAACTAACTTTAATCCTTTTTAAAATTTGGTTTCACTCGTCCAATTTATCGTGGCTTAGCAATTCTTACTATATTAGCTCTTAATTTTTATATCGAAAACTTTTATTGCAAATCGACTTGATAGTCCACATAGATTTCTTTTCGCTTATTAGCTACTTCGCTTAGATAAATATAATATGATATACATGAGCTCGCTTACCTAAAAAAGGAACATGTTGGAACATTGCTTTAATATGAACATCCCGAAGTTGCTACATCTCTCTTTATAGTTAAGCTTCTGTTTATTAACTTTACCAAATATATTATCAAAATAAAAATCACTATATCCATTCAAGTGGGGTAATCATGGAGAATGATATGTGTATTATGCAATTGTCTTCAGTTCGATGATTTTATTATTCTAAGATACTTTAATTGAAAAAGTTTCATGCTAACCTTATATTATTTACTATCATCGTACTTTACGTAGCAGCACATTAAATCTATCATTTTATCTGAGTGGTAATGATAATTATTTACAGTTTTAGCGCGATAACATTTTATTTATCGGCCATACGATTACTTATATAGAAACAAACTCTGTTTTCTATAAAAAATTGATTTCTTACCAATAGTATTTTTTCGCGAAGTTACAAATTAAAACTGAATTACCGTAGTATGATATTTAAAGCGGCATATCGATGCTTATTCGTACGTTTAATGCCGAATAAACTTTATCATACGTAACTCTACCATTACAACTGCACTACCGTTGTACATACCTACTCGTAAACAGCAATTCATCACTCAGATAGTCAAAATATTAGTAGTGACATTTTAAAAACTTCTCTTTATCAACTAGAATATGATACTTTTACTATAATATCGATAGCGTAGATCACATTGAAAATTCAGTGGCGTAGCCGATGCACAATAGTATAGAAATTTGTGATTGTAGACGATTCCGGTTAGCTTGCTTTAATATGAATTCACCGCATGAAAAATGTTCTGTCGGTGTACTATAATGATACACGGCAGCTATGAAAAACTACATTAACTCAAAGGCGGTAAATAATTTTTCATGATTTCTATTTAAGAATTAATTACATGTTAAATTGTCAAAAGTAGAACAATTAACGTATGAGTAATGTGGAATTCTTTCCGTATCTATCCCACCACGAATATAATATTTATGTATTTGTATTGTATCGTTATAAATAGATATATAGGTTACGATATATGTTAATATATTTATATAAAATATGTGTAAAGCTAGGCGTAAGCTAATGTCCTATCTGTAGTTCTTATGTTGCTAAGTCTTTATTTACGTAATTATAAATTTACCATCAACACAATTGTATCTGTACACGTAGTGTATCTACAGCAGAACTTAGCTAAGTAGCCAATTAAAATTTGAGATATATAGATATCTATACGTACTCTGATAATGCATATTGCCCATTTTCTAACTAATGTTAATAAATCAACAACAATAAACTCACAAATCCTCAGTTCCAGACAATTTATGATATCACAACAAGTGACTTATAGTTAATAAAATATGTTTACATTTTTACCATCTGAATTCTCAGATTTCGCATTATACAGAAAATTTCTACAGTTCGTAATCAAGTGTAAAAGAAAACAAGTTGGGATATCAATCCAATCTATATATGGCAAGTTAATGAAGTTCGATTGGTTTATAAAGTATCATTTGTAGGTAGGTACTATGTAATAATATAATACCGTATATCTATGTTACCTGACTTTTAACATGATCATAAAAAAATTTGTAATGTTTTCAATTAGAATTGACAGCAATAAGTCGTTTAACATACTAAGATTATAATCTATTTACCGTTCCTTAATCAATCACTAATATAACTAGGCCTTGGCAATGCGAATGAAACAAGCTGAACTATTTGTCTTAAGATACCCGTTTTTGAAATTTTCATAATTTTTTAATACTTAAAATGCGCATACTGAATAACTACAGTTCTGTGTATAGGAATGACCGTAACATATTGCTATTTAATGCAGATCTTTATTAAAAATTTGCAAACACCACCCTCACAATAAAAGATTGCTCATGCTGAAAGCTTCGATTAAGTTGTATTACAACTTGCAATCATACCTTACTAGGCACTGTAGCAGATACGAATCAGAGTAATACCCAATTTTGCCCTTATTGGTGTAAGTGGCTAACGTTAGTGGTTATTTCTTAGATGAAAATAGATAATGAAATACGCCAATTTTTTCATGGGGTACTTTACAGTTTGTGGTATGCTAGACTATGTCAATGATTGTTATTTAAGTACATTCTTTATTAATATTTTTTTATCAACTGATCAAATTTGTTATATTTCGATTGATTAATTATCTAGCATGCTATAATATTAAAACGTTCGATACAGATTTTGAATTTCTACTTTAAGAGAGATAAATTTTACTTCAGTGATACTAATTATTATCTTCATAGTTAGTTCGAAATGCAATTTTTAAATCAATTATTATTAAAATCTATCATTTATTATCAAAACAAAATAACAAAGTACTGTGTAATTTGACTTATTTGAATAACAATTTCACTACTTTATCTTTAATAATTTGCCAAGAAATATCAGATTGAATATTGCGTTATGGTCAATCCCCGAAATTGGCCGACGCTTAATTTGTTTAATATTTTGAAAGCAGCATATGTTCTATGCCATTACATTTAACGGCAGGAGGTGAACCGACTAATATAAGTTTAACTCGTACAAGTAGCTATTCCGAAATCATATTAAAAATATTCCTATAATATCTAGCATAATTGCACGTTAACATCAAAACTGTATGGACTTTGACTGACAAAGGTATTACTCGAATAACAAAAATTTTCAGAACAGGTGCTATACCGTAAATCTCATAACTTCTACTTGGAAGAGAGTTGTCGATTTTGTTGAGGGTCATAGTGATTTTAGAAATGAAAGGAATATTATTAGAATAATCAATTTCACGATATATGATGCTATAAATAGATGCTGTGAATTCGTAAGATTAAAACGTTTGATCAGGCATTGGCTAACGTCGTGTTGGTCCACCATATATTGTATTAGAACTGGTAGCACAAATGTTACTTTCTTATTATTGCAATATAATATATTTTGTCGTAGTCTTTCATCATTCATTACTTGATTAATTACTACTTCCTACTAATAAATTTCGCTATTTAAATTGTTCTTAAAAAATAACGGACGGTTCTTGAATAGAATCCAACTGTGAACTTATCACTTCATCTCAAAAGCCATTGTTGACCTAGATAAAATATTACGATTGCCATTAGTTTATGAATACTACACCAGTGACCTAAGTATTTCGATCGTTATAGTCAAGTTAAAGCTCTTACTTCGTTTCCATGATATAAAAATTTATAGGTGTTCAGCTAAAAATTATTGTCGTTATCTCCGTTAAAATAATGCACTGTAGATCCTATCTCCACATGGCCTAATTAAATGTATAGATACATCCAAAGGCTAAAATAGTTTACCAAATTATGTACAGGCACTAATCAAAACGGCTTAGTGCATAAACTATCATTAGGGCGTTACGCTACTTATAAATTAGAAACGATATAGAAATTACTGAAGATAAAATCATAATATCGCTATAAGTAATACGGTACTGAGTTCATAATGGACTTTTAACTAGTACGAAGATTCTTAAATTAAAGAAGATAATGATTGTGCTGGTGCGGTATACAACGTTAAGTATGCTTTCATCAAATTATTTGCATATCTAATATCCGTATACGATAGATATATATACACAGCCTAATCCTATATACTTTTATGATCTGAATAATTTTATTTACAGTTATAAATCTTTCACATAAATATACAGCGTCTGGCAAACACTGTTACTATTGTCAAGATGACATTACGACTGAAAATTCCATAAAGAATACTAAATATGCATTATGAACATCATATTTTCCGCAGTGAGTTTATTATTGTTAATAATGTTCTTCCGATTAGTTTGATTTGGACTTTGATATCGCATAATCCCAATTTACCATCAATGGTAGTGATGATTGCAATAATTGCACACGTGACGATTAGATGGAAAGAGCAATTAAATAGTAAAGTTCAATATTTGCAAAGTAGATCAGAAATTCCCATTATTTATTTTAAGTAATCTACGATATAGCTGCACTCATTAAATATGGACTTAAATTATTATTGCATTTTCATTTTGAAGTAATATCAATCATAGTCAGTCAGCTTTTATTTTATGTATCATACGCTAGAGGATTAAGATTTCTAACATTATCATCTTAGTTTATATTATTTAACTAAAGTATTAAAAATCTAACTAAAAACTGTAATATAGAAGCCTTTTTGTGTCTTATACAGCTTAACCTTAACCGAACCATTTGAAGTAAACATCTCTAGTCATCTCCCTGATACGATCTTGAAAGACATAAGGGAAAAAGCTATAACTGATTTTAAAACTACTGTTCTACGATATACGTAAGCTGGATGACTCTACCAAATTAAATTTCATCGTAAAGAAAAGAAAACAATTCACCATGGAATTTTTACATAATATGACAAGTAATGAAAATAATTTATCTTCCACCACAGTACCCATTCCATCCCCAAACGGGCTAACTGTGCAACAAATTCTGCATGTTATCTATGGTATCCTAGCTTTTATTGCTATATTCGGCAATGGCCTTGTCTTTACAATTATTGCTACTTATCGACGTGGAAGGATGATACGATCAGGCACCAATTTACTTATCGCCAGTATGGCTATAATGGATATGATGACTGGTATTACGATATATGCTATGCCGACATTTGTTGTCCCAGCAAAGAGTTATCCGTATCCAAAAGATGCTTTAAGTTGCAATATATTTTGTCACATTGTTGCTTCAGAATATTTGCTATTCTATTTTGGATTTGGTTCTGTTTTAACTGTGACTGCTATCGCAGTAGAGAGATGGATAGCAATATCTAGGCCATTTAGTTACAGAAAAATTGTGACAACTAAAAGGGTTAAAATTTATATTGTTATTTTATGGATACTTTGCTTGTTCCTATCAATTGATGTTATGCTACAAAATGAATATGTAGCGAACAGTACAATACCGTGTCAATTCAACTCATTTGCTAGGCACCAACCTGGAAAAAGTATATTCTTGGCATTAGAGATAATACGCTTATTTTTCCCCGTTCTCTTAACCTTGATCTGTTATGCAGATATTGCTAGAAGAACACTATTTTCTAGTAAGGTTGATACCTTAGACCAAAATTCTAATCGTAAAATGAGTATTCGACGTAAATCAAAACGAAAAGTAACTATTATGTCAGCTATAGCCGCTCTGGCTTTTATTTCATGTTGGTTACCTAATGAGATTTATTTTACTCTCACGGCTTTCAATCAAACTGCCTATGATCTTACAACAACTCGCATAACCAAATCATTAATAATATTAAGTTCATGTCTAAGTCCATTTATATATTCTGCTACAAATGAAGAATACAGAAAAGGATTAAATTCATTACTGAGACCGATCCACCTTATTGATACAGCTGGATGTCAATGTACTATTCAATACTCAGTTCAAATCAGTAGAACTGAAAGTAGCATCAATAATATTGCAGTATTAAACTAATGAGTCAGATCAACTAACTATCAGATATGCTTGATTTTAATAGATTAAGGCATTAAAAATAAAAGTCATTACTTTTTCATCGTAAAGTTCCAGTATCTACCATTTTGTTATTTCAAGATTTAAGATTCCGAAAATATTAAAGTCTTTCGACCTCACTGTTTCACTGAAATACAGTTAAAGTGTGTAACAGGATACGCTCCAATTTTCTTTGATTGAAATCGAAATCAAAATGATTTCTTACGCTCATTCTATTGAATCGATATTATTTACTTTTCTTAGCAATTGTAATTATCAGACTGAAAAGGAATATTTGCCCTGTTAGCTATATATCCTCTAATTGAAAATAGCGATATAAATTAATGGTTGTAATTAGACAGAAGACTTTAATATATGTCATCTTGCTACTGTAACACTTGTTAATTTTAACTTGCGAAGATTTTTTGCGGTCTGTAACGTAATACCCTCTTAATCTAGCAATTTTTGCGATTTTTTTAGATTAAAGCTTAGTGCTGTAACGCTAAGAGTGCAAGCAAATTAGGTAAATGAATGATCTACAGTATATTATAACCTATCAACTGATGCAAAATAGAGTTAATAATACAATGCACAAAATAAACCCATTTCACTAAAATCACTTCAAGTGTTTGCATATCCTTGAGTTGGCTATAATTTTCAAAACAGACATTTTATCTATAATAATTTTCTATAGTCACTACTTAAATGCTATTCAAGTATAATGAAGCATTATACTCGAAAATCCTGCCAGTTTTTATTGCGTGATCATCGGTATCATATTAAACAGTGATTGATACGATAATAATAATAAGCGTTCTATTTATTGTCAATTACTGAAGCAGTGCAGTGCTTGCTAATAGGCACAAATTGAAACCATAAGAACAATACAGAAATCAGAAAGAAGTCATAATTACTTCTGTTACTTTGCCTGATCTTTGTCCAAAGACAGAAGACAATATGATAAATTTCTTACAAAAGTACTCTGATAAACATTGCGATGTGCTTCTATCTCTTATATATATAATCCGGCAATATTATATTTTATGATTTCATATACTGTACCTACCGATTATACCGCAATAGTTAGTTTTATTGTTTTTTTGGTTTTGATGCAATCGCTGAAGCAATAACAGAACTAAAAATTTCACTATTTCTTAAATTCCTACATCGTGAAACTTGTTCTTATTAGCTGATAATGACATTAGTTCCAAGCGCTATTATGCTTTACTGAGGTTAATTATTAAGTAGACAATTTATACTATACAGTAGCATTTATTATTTTACATTTTGCTGCCTTTCATTAGGATCCAACTACCTACGTATATTAATTTTATATTAGGGCTGATTTATGTCTTGATTATAAAAAGTATTTTATATTATCCGGCGGTAATTGAAAGTGCAATATCAAATTCTTCTTCTAGTCTAGTTTTCAATGCTATTCTGTAGTAAATATTCATCGATTGTGCGTTACTGTTAGTACATTAGGCAATGTAAATCACCGTTATTTTAATTGGTCTGGTATTCATAATTGAGTTTCGATGCCGATGTTTATGGCTTTATTATTGATAATTAAAACGTTTAGATTTGAAATACGACTCAGAAATATGGAAGCTTTAAGAAATTAAACAGGTAAGTAAGGACATTTTGTAAAGTCTTAACAAAGTAAAGAAGAGTAATAGTAACTTAGAAAATGCTAAAGCTTTGTAAATGATAAACTACTGTCACAGTCATCAAAATAGCTTAGATATGGAAGTGTCGTTTATGATAACATTTTGCTTTGAACTTTTTACGAGTATCAGCTACTACTTTAGGAATTGTTATTGTTAGTAATAACCTAAGTCATTACGGTATTATGATGATATAGTAATATATTACAAGTATGTAATGAGAACATAGGAGCTTGACAGGGCTTACAGTCGGAGTAGATTTACATATGAAATTGTTTATTACCTCGAATGTCAGTATTTGATAATTCAATCGTAAGAACATACTTGTTATTGAAATATGTTAATAGTATAGTAAATATGTTTATAACTACTGAAAGAGTATGTAAGAAGGACTGTGATCAATAAAAAGTGATCCAGGTTAAGGCTAACTTGTGTGATAGCTTTATATGGTGTATTGTGTTGAGCGAGTTAGTACTTCGCAAGGATTCCAGCTACAATGCCGTAGGCTAGGGAAGTAGTTCTGGTGATTAAAGTAAAGTTTATTATAAGTACTGTGTTGTTTTCTTGTGTCGTAAGAATAGTTCTGGCAACTATTCTGCCAGTTCTACCCATATAGGAATGTTGCGTTTCTGATCAGGTTTATCAATCCAGTAATCGTATTGGCATACATCAAATTACTTACTTTACCAATGGTCTTATTGATCTGTCACAATTTAAACTCTGCGACAAGAAAGTGTGCAGTAAAAGTTTATAAGAAACACTGACTTAAATGCCTTTTTACTAAACGTTAAACACACACTGTAAAGTACCGTAAAGATAGAACTTTTATTAGCATAGATATATCTACAACTTTCACCGCACAACGTAAGTCAAGTGTTCCCGTCATATAGGAACTGTCCAATCTGTAAATAACGATAGTATTATTATTATATCTTACTAGGAGAGATATCTCGAGCTGAGATGTTCCTTATATAGATTTTCTATCAGTAAATATTTTTAATCTCTTACTCATACTTAATCTTAATTTAAGCATGTGTTTTGTTTAATTCAACTATTACTAGCTAGAACTTGAATCATATTACTACTATCTACACATAATAGCAATCAGTATCCACGTTAAAGCATTACTTATCTTACCTAGCACTACAAATATGGATATTTTCCATATTAGCTACTGTACTATTATTGTAGAATATCCTAACGGTAAGGTAACACCGTAACAAGATCATAAATAGCACGGCTTACCTTGTGTGTAATTCTAAAAAGTCGCTGATTGAAGCAATTTAGACAATCTGCTACGCAATTGGGATCAATTTTAACTATGAACTAGCAATTGCTAGGTAATACTCAACAATAATGAAAAATTAAGGTTCCTGTATTGCGAAATTATGGTAGTCATTTTTTAATTTGAGCATTGTTACAAATCGAAATTTGTAACGAGGAAAATATACTGTAGAAACTAGGAGTCTACTGTTGGGTTTGGACCTCCGTGATATTTACCTACAATATAACTCTAAATACTCACAACCTCCTATTGTCGAGAGGAATAGTAAAACTACACAAGCTAAACCCAAACTTTATTGAAAGATCCTTCAATTTATACTAAATCTATACAAACATTACTTATCACTTTATACATAATACTATAAAACTATACACTTATCTATTAAAAGAATGCACAATGTCAAAGTTAAATTAATATAAACATTTTCCTAGATAAGTTATCTTATGGAGACTATATTACGACAGCTATGCAAAAGTTACTCTGTAACAAGCATGTACTTGTACTTAGTAAAATTTTATTCTATATTCATAGCCAATCATATTGTGAGAAATATCGTCTAATAACCGCACTTTGCATATTCACGAATAGCATAAGTGAGGCTGAATATTAGCTTAGTTTTTAGTAGGATCCTCAATTTAGACTAATTTTAATAAATTTTGGTATATTTTGTTTACTATCTATTGGAAGGTAGACCTGTGCGATCATAAATTCTTGCACGATAAATTTATGCAGAATTACGGTATATTTTTGCCAAACATTGATTCTCTGAATCGGAATGCCTTTGGCTTTTCATAAATACAGAACTTAAGATTGAATGTAAGCGAAGTAAAGCTTAAATTGTATCGACTACTAACCTTAAAGCCTGTAACTAAATCTTTATATTGCGGACCTCTCTTACTTCTTATTGTTCGTACTCGTGACCTCAATTTATAATCATATAACATTGTAATCATCGATATTTCAAAATTGCTTGATAATTATTCCTAGCGGCATTTTCTGATTTTAAAATTTTCGAAGAAACTAAATTTCTTTGTCATCGTAACCTTGCAGTGACTTGTAGCAGCGCTACATACGTTTATTAAAGAAATTGCTAGTAAATATTAGCTGTGAAGCTACCCATTCCCGGCTAAGGATATATGAATTAGTTAGGTACTTAATTTATAAGAAATCTCAAAGATCAAATTGTGCTTTTATTACAATTAACTTCGTGATATATGCATGCTCTAGCGTGCTTTAATATATAGCTTGTAGTCATAAATATTTAAGTCTGGAGTTTATTAAACTAATTTTCTTAATTAATAATAAGTTTTTGAAAACATTATTTACTCTTGAAGCTGCTCGGAATGATACTGAAAGGTACTTAAGCACGATATTTTATACAAAAATGACTTTAAACATTGAACTCAAAAAGGACTCATTCTTGCCTATAGTTACAGCTGGAACCTGTTCTTACGTCGCTGTAGGAAATGTAGAAAGGCAGTGTTTATGCATATTGCATAACATATCCAGACTCTAGGCTTTGTAATTTTGTGATAGTACGAAATGTAATATTTGCTTGCCAAATAATTCAAGAATTGTTAATTTTGTAATGAAGACTATGAAAATGTGGCAATCGTAGCGTCATCAGGGCTAGGAATTACAGTTATACCGAAAAATATACGCTTTCATAAACTTAAAATTTCTAGACTAAAATGTTACTAAAGTCGTAATAATAACGAAATGTGACAAATTGCAAATAATACATCATCAAGATGATGTTACATATGTAAACGTGTGCAGTTATACCGTAGAATTATTTTTACTTCTATAACCCGCTCTACCAACAATAAGGTTCATACGTAGGTACCTCATACCTCAATATACAACAAATTTAAATTCAAATCTGGAGTTGAACGGTAACGTATTTTCGTCTTGGCTATTTACCGTATTAGCAATATTGTGTGTCTACTACATATTAAGGCAAATGGAATTAGCGAAGTAAAGCGATTTCATCCAATATAATTCAAGAAATAAAACTAAATATGAAGGCCTTAAATATTTAACAATACTAATTCCAAATTCAGCGAAAATATTTTTAAAAAGGGATTGAAAAAGGAAAATATATTTATGTTGCATAGAAAATCATCTGCTGTTGTGCATTGAAAACATTTTATTAGCCGACAAAACCTGAATGATGATTTTATTTATTTATACGAAATATAAATAAAAATATCTTGTTATTTTTCTCTATTAGGTTGACATTGTATATAAATAATTCAGTATATAGAGTCATAGATTTTCACAAGTCTTTTCAGAAATTTAAAGATAAGCAATGCAAATTATTTTTGATACCTTAGACTGCATTTTAAATCATTTAACCGAGATATTGCATATGCTAAACTTCATTTTGTGTCCTATGCGACAGTAGTGATATAAAATTTGTTGTATCAAAAGTCATAATGGATACTCCGACATTTATTGTTCAGGATAATTCATTTGTATACGACGTTGTCCCTTAAGAATTTTGGCTTATTCATATAGTATCATTTTTATCGGAATGATTACTTAATCAACTTTAATCTACAATGCATCATGAACTAAGCTTTCAAGGACTGCAATAACGAATAGACCAAAGTGCATGACATGACGAAAATAATCACGCATCTCAGGTCTATGATATCTACTCATGTAAATAATAAACGTCGATACACTGGTAAATTTATAAGTATCCGAACACTATCTAGAAAAAGCCTATCGAATACTGTAATCGAAAACATGACTGAACATGCCAATTTACATTGAGAATTTAAACTTACATCGGCGAAATTTGCTTATCTTATTAATTATCTGTAAGGAGATAACTTTTAGCTAACAGATATACCTGCTATAATTATTAGAGTAATAACTAATTAATTACCAGTACTGGATCAAAGTCCATCCTCCCAATATCACTATGAAACTCTTAGAAACTACATTATGCACACTGATACAGCAAAACATTTCTCTATTATTATGACCAGAGTTGATAATAATTAATAACTGTCTCATTTTGCTGCAGTGTTCAATTATCAAGGAAACACCATTCAGTATCAGCTAGCGACATCACTGTCATATAAGTAGATACTATTGATTTTTAAAAGACCAGGTATTAGATGCCATGATCACAATCTAATTCTAGCACAATTACGAGATACGTGAGAATGAATCTTTTTTTACAATATCTTTCTGCCTGAATCAGAGCTCCTTTGTATATTTAGCTCTACGTAGATACGAAATAAATGTAGCGAATACCAACACAATAAACGATGCTAGGCCTACTATATAAATAAGTACAGTAATAAAATCATACAAATACTTATACTACTCGAATGTGCACATATACGAAATATTTCGTTAATGTAGAATTGAAAAAATTTACTGCATATTATTGTAAATGAATAAATATATACTGGTCTCCTTAATACAGAAGTTCAAAGAATAATTTATTAGTCTATCATGATATTTTGAAGCATTTTGCCACCGTTAGATTAAAATAATTAGTTGGTAATCAGTTTTAGTAAGGTAAAAATTGAACATATATATAGGTTAAAATCATTTCTAGCAGTATATGCAGCGGACTTTGGTTAATAATTTATTTACATTCTAAGCACCGTTGTTACTTTGGATGAATAGTATAAAGACATCAATTTATCTATAAAATGTGATTTCTGAGCTAATCTTTTCTGATTTCGAAAATTAAAGAAAAAAAGATGCTTTATAATATAATTTATAATATTATCCAGCTTGATAAAACAATTACGGAAAATGGTAAAGTTTTTAAATTGCAAAATGTATCAGTATGCTTATTGCGAATTCAAATCAGTCAGCTAAAATATATTAATACTGAAAGTAATTAGGAAATTCGAAAGCATAAATAAATTGTAATTGTGATTAAATCTTGACGCTATTTGTGGGGAGATCAAGCTATAGTTGACAAAATCGATGATCTTAGGACAAAGGCAGTTTGAAACCAATCGCCTTACCTAGAGGCTATAGCAGCAATCAACGTTATTAATTATTTGATGTAAGAAATACCTAAAACATACAGCGACAAATGTATATATAATTTCGACAGTAGGATTGGTGCTTATTGTAGAATTAATAGTGTTGGAAATTGAACAGTGTGTAGGTCTTAATCATTTTTGATGTATCTTTGGATTTTGAGTCAGTTGTGTTTACAGTATAGATATCATTTAGTAAAAGCCATCTAATCTTAAATGATGCATTGAAGAGAAATCATTTAATTTATCGTTTTAATATAAGTAAATTTTAAAATTTCACAGTTTGGTACGTAATTTTCATTTGATATGGAAGAATGAGTATTTTTAAATTCGATATCGATCAGTTTGAAACTTACACTAGCTATCTCGTACATCGAATATCTAGTTTCTATCATTATTGCTCAATATTGCGTTAGTTTGCAAGAAAATATTATTCGATATAAATTACTTCTTGCAATTAGATATATTTTGCAATTAATCGTATTCTTAAAACACAATTGAACAGCAGATAGAAGCTACAAAGCAGTTCCTACATAGAATAGCTCCTATTAGGTAGAATTAATTGTAAGTAGTTTGGTTAATACGATCATAAATATAACCTTGGTCACTCAAGCATAAGTTAATGCTATAGCATTAAAGTGCCCAGATATGTATATCGTACATAAACATATATGCCAGTAATTTAGAATATATTACAGCTTTAAACTGTGATAGCTTCAAGATTGTGTTATAGGACTCCATTTATATTATACAAGCAAATTAATTCGTATAAGCAATATGAGTCAATAGAGCACAAACTGCTTATATCTATGTTGTATAAGGGGACACAGTTAATTATATAAATTAAATTGTATTTTAAATGAAAGTAGTATATTGAACTTTCATATTAATCGTCATAAATCATTTGTCTTATTTGAATCTGGATTGTTAAATACTGCTTGCGATTTGGTATTTGTATGAAATAAATAAATTAAAATGTAGTTTAATCGCTATTTTAAGATCATATTCGTACTGGATTAGGAATGAAGAAAAAACGCATGTACATTGGTAGCTATTTTCTTTTTTTCAGTTATTTTGAACTGATACAAACAATAGCTCATTAATTTAAGAAACCGAAGGTGATATTTAGACTGAGCTTGATGATTAAAAACGAGTTGACTTGAAATAGAATTGTTCGGGATAAGTATGATCTTTTTGAAATAATTTTGTATCTACATTGTATCCAAGTTTACAATTTCGAATTTTGTTATTATTCAGCGTTTTTGGAATCGTTGGAAAACTACCAGAGTTTGGATATTGATTATTACTTGAATATTTCGTCTCACAGCATAGTTGATTTTTTATTGTTTGGACTGTATGCTGGCGTAGTACTTGATTAAAGTAGCCATAGAGGAAAGCATTAATAGCAGGATTACTGAATGCAATGTAACGCAAGATCTTGATAACTTTCATAATTTCCTCTAATGTCCAGTTAGGAGGTACTTTATAGCGTACAACAAGAAATATCGTAACAAATGGTGTCCAACATGCGATATAAATTCCAACCAGAATAGATAGTGTCTTTGCAGCTCGAACATTTTGTATCCATTGCTTGCATTGATCATAGGTGGTTAATAGTTTGGCATGATGATGAGCGAGACAATAAATTCTACCGTAAAATAAAATCATTCCTCCACATGGAACGAAATAAAGTACAATAAAATAAACCAAGTAATATATGCTTTCATATTGCATTTTGTTAGGATCTACAGTTATACAGTAATCGCGATTTATAGGCCGCCAAATAAAGTATGGTAGAAATGAAAACAGTATACTAAGTATCCATATCACTACCAGATAAAGAACTACGCGTGTTTTATTAACGATACGGTTGTATAGAAATGGATGAGAAATATAAATATATTGATCTAGACTAATAAGAAATAAATGCAGATTGGAATTGATAATAAATGCCAAACCTAAGGTTACACAAATTTGGCAAAAGATAACGTCAACGCTACTGGGAGATAATACAAAACGGGGAAATATGTAAAAGGCTGCAAGTAAGATTGCATTAAAGGACATACTGCCAATGATAATATTAGGGTTAGTTCTACATTTACGATACCAATAAATGAGAAATATGAGAAATAAATTGGATAGAATCATAACCACGCAAATAAAACCCCAAACATATTGGTCTTCTATTACTTTACCAAGCTCCGAAAATCCGTCATTATTATTATTATTGCTATTGCTATTGCTATGAGAAGAGGTATTGTTAGCATTTAATGCAGGAGTAGACATTTTTTATAAGTTAATAAACGTATTGCGATATTATCTCAGCGGTAATAGTCTTATAAATTTATCTGAATTTTTTTCTATTTTAAATTAGTCTGTATATTACTAACTTCGGTACCAATTGATTATATTTATGGCAACAACGTATAACACTAGTAATGATATACTGGTAGGAAAAATCTTACAAATCACTCGGTACAGAACGATGAAATGACGCCTTCGATATCGTTACCACAACTAGAAAGTAGATTGCAGTTTTAGAATATTGTGAAAGTTAATTCGATCTTTATAACGAGGTATGTTCGCAGTCTTCGATTATTACGAAAGTTAATTCGACTTTTATAATGAGGTATCCAGGACGAAATTGAACTGAAGCCTTTTCTTTTTCACAAGTTTTTTAAATTTAGACTAATAATAGGATTTTATAGATTAATTCAAAAGTTGCAAATTGCTATCTTCATCTTTCTTTATCATCAATGAACCGTAAACAGAATGAAGGCGGCAAATTTTCAGCTACCATACATATCGATACATGTTTACGTATATTCACTTGTATATTCTTCTTTCTATTATCTTGGCACGAAGTTTTTTGTAATTATAACGTATGATCAAAATTGTAGTATAAACTACAAATATACAATGATTATAGACAATTTCTGATTTAAGAATACTGAAGATCCGCAAGTTTTAGACACAATATACTATCTTCCATTTAACACAGGGTAATTAGTCTAAGAGAAAAGAGAACAAGAACAAATTACGATTCAATGCTTTAAATTTGATTATTCTTTTTTGTCAGTTGTCTTATAAAGGTACAAGTACATTGAATAGATGAAACGCCACATCATATTTCTTTACATTTTCGATTCATTAGAGAGAGAAATAATACTTTTAATTACCACTATATTTCTGTGTGAAGTTTTTGACATAACGAAATGAGATAATTTTACAATATTTTAAAGTTTTCAACTTCTTCACCTCCAAAGATATTATGATTACTTTTCATGTAAATTTTGACATCTTACCTTTAAAATGGCATCAAAAATAGATAGAAGGAAGAAAGCTAGACTATCTTTTATTTCTTCTATCTCTTGTCATTCCTTTCTCTTTTTTGGTAAATAGAAAAGTCTTTGCGATAAGTTAGGCCTTAAATAAAATGTAAGGTAATAAATTGATATTGAGATGAATCATATACGTATACTCTGTCGCATTAGAAAATAAGAAAAGAACTTGATAATTAATTTTTATCAAATCATACCGATGTATTTCATTAATTTAGCATAGCACTAGAATAATAAAATAACGTGAAGCATATATTCACATTTAGTGTTATGTAATAAGATTAAAAATTCGTAACGATTAGGACAATGGAATTGAAAAACGAAAATAAGTCTGGCAAGCACTTTACCTTGATATTACAATAAAGCCCATGGGAACGGTAGAATAAGTAAACTTTTTATGTACAGACAGCAACCATTTAAATTGTAACCACTATTGACTCTGGCTATCATTGGTTGGGCGTATTTTTTTCTGTTCTGTCTACATAATTCACAATGCAACCTTATTTTTTGTTAAACAAAAGTCGATTCTTTCATCAATAATGCCAGGAATCAATCAAAAAGTAGCATAGAAAAATACATTAGCCAATAAAGTTGTTATAATAGCTAATATCATTTTAATGATCATTATAATACTTGAGCATCAAAGGTCTATTCAATGTGATAAATATACGTTCTAAAATGATGTTATGATCAATGTCATTGGTAACATTGACCTTTGACGATAAAAATGAAATTAAATATGTTCCATAGGCATAACAGCGTTCTAAATTGTTTATAATTAATCGATAATAACCCCTTCCTTATCGTTTTCACTAGCATAGCAACTTACAATATATTTGGTATTCAGTTAGGGTAACTGGTAACAAAATTTTCAATTATTAGAGGTCATTAATACTTCTAACCGTTCTATACATATTAACATCTTTGCCTTAATAAATGATTAAGTAAATTATTTCATTTATTACAAGGAAGTAATTTCTCGTCAAGGCCTATAAGATGTTATGAATAATCTTTTTTTCCACATGAATATCCTAGTATTATAATTAATTCATAATCTTATAAATAGGTGTAGGTAAGCCTAATTAAAATTAAAATTTTCTTCCTTTTTATCTAGAATTGTCAACGTTCTGCATAAAGGAAAAACAAAAGACTTTGAAATATTTTTTCATCAAATAATTTTAGGTAAACGTATCAATATAGAATTAGGCAATAGTATAGTATCCTAAAATATTTATGCAATTCATATTAACTCTTTCAGAATTAGTTTAAGCCTTCAGTATTCACTTTACTGAAAGTCATTATTATTATCTAAGTATACTGCTTGAAGGTTAATCTTTGTAGTTGGTCACTAGGACAAATGTCGTATTTTCGATTGTTAGTAATTCGAATTTTTTATTTTTGTCCTTAAAAATCGGTTTTAGTAAATTTTAAACGTCTATTTACTAGATTAAGCGTACGAATATTGAGTGAGGGACTCACAGTATATAATCAATTGATTACTTCTATGCAGCCATTATTGCTCTATACAAGCACGTCTAGAAGTCATTTTAGAAAGGTTTTTCTATAGCTTTAGTAATTGCACTGAATTCTTCAAAATTTATGTAATACTAGTAATTTTCGATTATGTTATAAGTCCAAATCAATATAATTATTATGCTCGTATATTTAATTTCTGATTGATCCTGAGTTTTAAAAAACTTTAAACATATTTTTAAGCTTTAGAAATTAAATTGAGTCCTCAAATCCCACACTAAGGTAAACTGTCTCTTGCAAGTGCAAATCAATATGATTATTTTTTATACACAATTTCTGGCTTGATCTTGAGTTTATCACTTTAGATACATCATCTTTAAACAGTAGAAATTAAATGAAGCCCTCAGATTTTGTACCACAGTAAATTGTATCTAGTAGAAAAATAGTATCAAAGTCAACATTCATAAGTTGTCTTACATTGTTACCAGATGGATCAGAAACGTATACCTTCGACTGATTTCCTTATGATGATACTATAGATTGAATTGTAAACTTTATTACTCTATCATCTTGCAGTTGCATATTTAGTAACTTATATTTAGATGTAAATATTTAGTTGTAAATCAACATTTTTTCACTCTATTCGTACCAATTTACCATTGATCATCATCAACTGATTACTGACACACAGTAATTACTTTTATCTTTCTGTAGTCATCTCTTTGATTGGCAATAAACTAAAATTATACACTACACGTTGGAAGTCAGATATAACGAAAATAATTTAGTTTTAATCCCCTTTTAAGACCTAATAGCCATAATATTACTTTGAGAAATTCTTTATTCATCACCGTTTTTATATAAAGCACTTTGTCTGTGTAATATTGAATCGTTTTCAATAATTATGCTTGATAAGTTAATATTATAACTTACACAAGTTGTGTTGTCTTGTATATATACAATTTTAAAAGCATCAATGCTATATTCCAGGATAATTTCAAGGTTTCTTATTAAGTCTACTACCTAGATCAAAAGTAGCTTCGAGATTTTTAGTAATTATATTATCAAATGCTCTTAATATTAAACATGTTAATCTAATTTTATTAAAGTAATTATAATGCAGACTCTCTATAGTGTACACCTAGTACTAAAAATTTGTACATAAGCGGTTAAATAAAAAGATTCATAACCAGAACAAATTATGACGTAGAAAAATTCTTCGAAATCTATAGTAGACGGAATTTTAAAAGGGTTTAATAGCAATTTCAAAATAAGAGACTAACACAACCATAAGAAGCGGATCATGCTTTGATAATTAAGCATTATAAGTAATCAATAAAATATAAAATTAGTAATAACAATGGGTAATGTTAGTAACCAACTGAATCCAATAGATCTATCATTACGACTAGATCATGTACGAGTGCAAATATTGCATTTCGAAAGAGAATTCTACTTTACTTGAATCAGTTTAAATTACTACGATAAAATCTAATCACGAAAATTCCAAAGTTGTAGACTAAAATTGCCAGCTTATATTCATTTGGTAGCAGTCGCAGCCACAATTAGCACAGCAACATTCTACCTTAATTTGCACATAGTCAAATTATTATTAGTGACAAACATTTTACAGCGGATCATCATTAATCCGATATGGAAATAACTACAGTATTTCCGTAGACATTATTCTTAGCAGTCAAAGTACGGTAAGCTAAGCATATCCTACTATATGAATTACACTTCCATTTTTACCACTAACCTTAATAGCAACTCAGCGCCTTACTATATATAGTCATCTGTACTATAGCATAGAATCTATCATTACAGTCCATAGAAGCGAGCTACCAAATACGTCTTAAGATAAATATAGAAAGTTACGCTTCCGTACATCTTACTAACATGGCTAAAAGTCTACAATCACAATACTAAGTTTCGTTACAATTACCAAAATGATAGTATGGTATCTGTTGGAAATTTAATTAATATGCCTGTTATATAATTCTACCATACGGGTCATTATCTATTATTATATACAGACATTTATAAGTTTACATAAGCACAGATTTGATTTTTTCCTCGTTATATCTCATAAATATGCCGTTATTTCTGGGTTATTTTGCTACATAGATATGTATACGTCGTAACATTTACTAATAAAGTAGTACCAATGCAGATTGGATAAATAATTCTTAGTAATTTCTTACATTTAGTTTTCAAAGCTATATGGTTGCATAATTCATTATTTTTATTACACCAATAGAAGTAACTAATTATGACAGCGATGTGGAGAGAACATAACAGTAGTTCCATCAGAAATCTTGGAATGAATAGCATAGGCATGCATAAGTTACTTCTACTTTGACTAGAATACAGTTAATTGCAATAGCCTCCAGTTATGCCATATTCTACAGTTGATTTACCTAAAGTGTAAGTCAATATAACTAAAGCAGACTTCTAATTAGACATATTTACTGTCAATACGGAAACTCATCTTTGCAGGCGATGTTTTTTTTATACGCATCTAAGGAAGAAATTTGTCAAAGATTTTAATTTTCCTTTTATTAGAATAGTAAAAGGGAGAAGGAAACGTTATTGTGAAGGAAATGAAATCACATATTTCCGTAAGTCTTCACGAAGGCTTGAAGTAAGCGTACAAAATATTCATGTCGAAATCGTGAATCCTTCTTTCTGATTGTATTTACAATAATATATTTTATGTCATACATCAAGAAATTTTCACTGACTAGAATCACAGCTGTAAATTATTTGCCGAAGTCGTTACTGTAGGAAGGTTATGTATTGTAGAATTATGTTCTAGTATAACTATATCATCTGTGTTTTAAGAAATAATTTTATAAGTTGGATATATTTATTTGGATATAAATACAGTATATTAGAGTTAGAGTATATAGTGCTTAAATCATCAATTCAAATTATAAAGATTCTTGAGTCTACAACTGCACGTCGGTAGTTTATGTTGTAGCGGAACTATATTTGTATACAATTCTATAAAAAATTGTTCTTATCTCAGGCTATATTTGCAGAACATTATCAGCTATTAGAACTAGAATTCGTAGGTATTTCTGAAAACATGATAGTACGGGGGGGTTTTATATCGCAACGATTATATTCTAGTGCGATTATATCCGCAAACTTAATAATTAAAATTTATTTCATAAATTGGCCACATTATCATTGTAGTTCATCTATAAATTATTAAATTTGTTATTACATGATGCAGGTCTTTTGATTTAGGCAAGAAATGGAATAACTATGTCTCCCAAATACTACTCGAAATGAATATAGATTACCGTACGTCAGCTGGTTGTAAATAAGAGGCTTTACGTCTACATTGATGTCACAAACCGGAATTGTTTGTGGCAAGGAAACGCAAGATAAAAGTCCTTAAGCAAACTTATGACTTAAACGCCCTTTTATTTACGTAAAGACGACTTATAAACCGGAGAACTACAACAACTAGAGCCTTTTGCGCAGCGCATTCGCTTTTATAAGGCTCGATGATAATCGAACATACCAATAACAAAAACAACTTCGATACCACATTACACATGATTTCGACTAAGAGATAGTATGAGATTATTCTATTAAGTCATAGTAACCATTATTACATATTGCCGATACTGTCAAACAATCCATTTAACATAACATGGTCATATATCGACAATAATTAGTAAACAACAACATCAAGTTATCATCAGTTCTACCATATTAGCTAAGATTACGTAAATCTATTCAAATGGTGAGATAACACCGTAACAATTGAATACCAATACACTAACAAGCCAGCTGTAAGACTATACGCGTAAGCTAGTGTACGAAAAGTATATAAAGAACTAAGATCTAATGTTTGCAATTATTAGACATAAATAATTTATTGTTGAGCATATTCGATTTACAGTATGAACGAGTACCGTATATATACACGTATGCCTGCGAAATCTTTTAACGATTATAATTATTTGTATTTGAAGGATCACTGTTACAAGATATCTAACTGAAGAACTGTCATCTTACGATAGTATAACATTATTTAATAATAGTAAAGGGCTAAATACAGAATTACTTTCGTAGGATAGATCGATTAAGTCTATAGCATTAGAACTTGGTTAGTTATTTACGTATTTTATGTAATCACTTTTACTTATGTACAATTATGTACGGGTATATATGAGTATATATGTTAAGAGCTAGTAATAGCCCTAACTTGCAACAAGGGTTGAAGGAGTGCTTTCTAACCTACAGCACACTACTGTTACTTGGAATACTAGTCAGTTGGTATTCCTAGGCAGATAGAGTTTAACACCGTGAAACCTTCAAACTTTCTAGAAATTCACAATCTAATTTATAGTCAACGAAGCTGCCGCTTATATAGGTTTCGATACCTAAAATCGGTTTAACTCCATAGCTTCCGATCTTGTTTAGCTATTTATGCATTTCATGTAATCGCTTCTACTTACGTGCAAATATATATACGAGAGCATAGAAGTATAATAGAACTACTATAACTATAAAGAAACCTTCCTGATTAATCCAATGTTTTAAACTATGATCATTCTTGTATTACGGCAATGCCAATCATAGGAAGATACTGAATGTGATACGGTGTGTTGCATATAAAATACTAATGTTAAAGAATAAGTAATAAAAAATTCAGGATTTCTCTCAATTAAATTAAGTTTACAAGCATTCAAAATATCCGTTGCCTTTCTTCAACCTTGCAGCCTTATTTTCTACACCTGTCAGGTAAGAGTAATTATGATATTGGAGGTAAAATAGATCCTATTACAGGATCATAAATATTTGTATTTGGCCTGAAGGTTGCTAAAGAGTAATGTAGCTTGAACATTTTTGCATATTACCATATCGGTAGGCTTGATTAGGATCGACTCTTGAGTCAAAATGCTTGTAAGTTCCTCTTTTTGGCCCACTACTAAAGCTTCAATAAAAGTAAAGTAGGTGGCGTAGTAAGTGGATAGACATATATAAAAGCTTCAGAGTTATTGAACTTGTATATTTCAGGCAATAATAAGATTTAAATCGCCTGAGAAGTGAGGTCTTTCCAAATGCAAACTCATTCTTAAACATTCTTTTAAGTATAAGTTAAAGTATGATAAAATGTCTTAAAATTTTACATTAAGAATTTTAATTTCTCGTAAACCTTTCCTTAATTAGATGGATTAAATCCGTCTGTAAGTGGCTAAGGATTATCCACCTTTATCAGAATAAAACTATCTAACCGCCTACATTAAAAATCTACGAATTAGATATTATAATTTTATTCTTAAGGGGCCTTCAGTGCATAAAACAATCTACAGGAAAGATCGATTGTATGGCATAATTTCATTCTTTCATATACGCCCATTTAGTCATTAAATTTATTCAATATTTCAAGATGCCGCTGTTCAAAATGCCTTTGTCACTCTGAGTTCATGCACGTTTTCTAATTGTACGATAATTGCTTAACTGCTTAATGATTATTGCCAAATGATGGCTAGGGATAGTAGTATCGAAATAGCAATAAAACTAAAATGCTGCTTTAATGCTTCCTTCGCTTACGGTGCATTGATCTATCGGGCAACTACTACTACTATAATGTAAGTCAATTACTTTGAAATAATTAATTTTTCTTCCATATTTAGTACTATCTTATAGTGATTTTTAGTTAGTTATGGTAGTCACATGAAGCACAATAGCACCAGGAATTTCTTTGTAGAAAGCAGAATAGACTGGTACGCTTAATAAAGTAATTGTAAAAGATGGCTGCTATGATGAAACCGTTAACTAGTACTATTGATATTGTACATAATATATAAGTGGCGGTAATCAACAACCATATCACGATATGTTTTATATAATGCACTAATGTGATCCCTAACTCTAGAGTAGAATATTGCAGAGAAATATTTAATTATATTTTGAATAAGTTACATGGCGTTGTTGTAGAGACTTATCAAGGCGACGATTTGGTTTTATCTTAGCTGTTTTCAACTATTCTTATCTTGGGAAAATAAAAAATTCTTCTCCGATATATATGCTATTAATAAATAATACATTTAAGGCTAAAATACGGTGTTGATCTGTTGTGTTACATTAGAGATTTGCTCAATTTTAATCACTCAAATTTTCAGATAGTAGATTGTGAACCTATGGGGTTATAAAATCCATTCACTACATCTGTACAAATTTTCAAGTCATCATTATAAAATAACAAACAAAGGATTCACTTGATAAATTAGCAATAGGTAACACAATCACGATTTCATCATCTTTGTTAATTGAACAGCCAAGTCTACACGCATGTATTTTAATAACGGAGTTACTAATGGTCTATCGAATCGTAAAAACCAGCAACAGACAAAATTATTACCAGAGCTTAAGTAATCAATATAGTATTAGCTAATCAAAGATCAATTATCCATTTTGTAACAGTGGCATTCGTAGTTATGGCTTTCTAATGTTTATAAGATAAGAGTTGCACGAGCCCGAATACTACCAATACAATATCGTGACTTCTATAATTATTCAGGAATCTAAATTACACGTTATCCTTAGAGGTAACTCAAGTTATTTCCTCAGGCAAGAACATTTTACCTATGGTTATGATGTTACAGTATAAAACTAGATGACTGAAAATTTTAAGGTAGCTACTGTAACATAAAAAATTAAACCTCAATCTCGATATCCACGATCATACAATAATAAAAGAGATTATTTTTGAAAAGGGCACAAACTTTAGCTAGTTCAGACTATCATAAAATCAAATTTTCTTTCTATCGACAAATTTGCGTAATTTTGTCGGAAGAACTCCTGCTGTTTTACGATAATGATCAATTAATTGATCTAAATCGGCAAATTGATATTGATCCTCTAAGCTATATATGATGATCACTTCTTTTTCGGTTATTTTTACCTAAATTGAAATGATGAAAATGAATACTATTTTAATATAAATAAACCTGATAGTACTTAATGGTAGTATTCCAACAATATTATTAAAGGGTGTTATGTAGTTTTTATTAATACAGACGAAAATATTAATAAGTTTTTATCCATCAACGAGTACTAGCATTTAATTAAATCATATGATAAATTTAAGCTACGTATAGTACGATAAGAATATTTCTACCTTGGATGCCATTTTTTCTTTTAGGGCTTCACGATTCGGGCAAGAGCCGGCACGAGAGCGGATCTTGTTAATTCTATCAGCCTCAGTTTCTATAGGTACTTTAACTAGTTTTGGTGTTCCAATAATTCGGCTAGATGATTTACCAAACTCCATCGGTACTAGATGATCACCTGCGTTTTCTCGTAAATCCTAAGAAATTAGCGATAAAGTTTCCGATATCACAGGCGCATCGGTTTAATAATATATCTCATTAATTAAAATTAAGTGATATTATAAATATGCATTTTAGCTTTGTAATATCAATTAAAGAACTACCCTATTCCTTATAACATACCATGTAACAATTATTCTAACAGTACTGAGCAGTTAATCATTTCAGATAGTAAAAGTAATATTTTCTAATGTTGTTGTCTATTTTACTTAAGGAGCTAATATTAAAATCTAATTCTGCTGCTATTGAGAATAAATAGTATCATGCGATAACCGGTTGCGACCTTTAAGAATTAAAAGCATCTTATTATAATACAAATAAATATAGATCTAATGATATACAAGCATAATAATAATTTGCAATCAGCCTTTCTTGATTAATAGTGGACTTACAAGAACAATTTGAATGTGATGAACTTTCTTTTTATGGCATAAGGACAATACTAGAGACCCTGGAGTACTTGTGCTTTCGCGAATAAGAAAAAGCCTAGAGGATATCATTAAAAGTTCATAAATAAAGGTACCAACTCGTTCCCATGATTAAATCCTATTTACTTGCTAATTTATTTTCCCTTACTTTATATTGATAATTATTAATAATATGCAATTGTGTTTTTAATATTGATAATTATCAATAATATACAAATATATGTTTTTTGAGAGTTTCCTTTAGCAATTCTTATCTACTGGCTAGTTTAACTTATGTTACAGCTCTTAATATTGATAATTATCAATTAATATGCAAATATGTTTTTTAATACTCTTACCCATCAGATGTTCCTTTATCAGTTAAAATATCGACTGCTTGTATTCGGCTGATAGAAGTATGAAACCATGGCTGATCGTAAGATAAATCTTTCACGGAAATTCCTTTAATTAAGTAGATCATCATCAGAAAATAAGCTCATCAAAGATTTATTTGGTGATAGGATTGCAATTCATTTGTAATTATTTTTGCTTACAGCAATACAATTTAAAATTAGTGTACATACTGTATATCTACAATAAAATAAAACCTGTTAAAAATACCTTTTTTATCTCTTGTAAATCTCTGTAAATAGAACAAATATGTATAAATTAAAACTAGTTCCAAACACAAATTATAAAATTCTCTTGTAAGGTAAAAGCGTCATTTTGAAATTGAACTACTAGATTATTTGCATTACAAGTAGATGAATAAAGCTATAAACCAGTCTATAGCTAATGAAGTTATCATAGCTCAACAATCGTATTCACGGACCGCGACAGTAATAGAGGGGCTAGTGCATTTACATAGTGCTTTGAAATTTTATTTGAAATTAAAAAGAGTTTTACTTACCATTGTACCCGTTCTTGCTCTAGGTTCTGGTGCATGTAATAATGGGCCAGACAAAACCGGTGAATCATTAGCTGGCGATGAAGGAGTAGTAGCTACTGTATCTTTCCTTTTACTTAGACCACGCAAGAATGAAAGTGATCTACTCCTTGGTAACTCGCTGGTAGTATGGCACCGCGATCGCTGCAGTATAAGTTAGATAAATAGTGATTATACGTATATAGAGAATCTAAGGCGTGTTATTAGATAATCGTAGCTTTATCTAGCAATATCTTAAACTTGGCTATAACTTTTAATTTGTTAACTTACCGTGGATGCAAAGTCTTGTGACATAACCTCGGGAGAACTTTGAATCATTTCCGTGTAATTTGTTTTTAATTGCTGGCCGTACTATTAAAATAAATTAATCGTCAGTCATATTAGCTATAAATTAATTACTGATGCACCCAATATCATGAGAATAATCTTATATTATGTCTTTATAATTGCAAAAGCCAAGCATTTGATATTCAAGGTTATTTAAAATAATAAACACACAGATGACAGCTATATTTCAAGCCGTAAAGCAACCCATTTAGTTATTACCTTTCCAACGCGAAATACGCTAAACCATGCAAACAACTTCTCAGCATCATTAGTACACAAACTTTTAAAATTCTTAGGATTAAAATTTTGTAAATTTTCCTGAAAATATATTTATCTGCAGTTAATTTCGTATCTTTATTAATCACTGTACGTATCATAATCACTTAGGATATAATCTTTAAGCTAGGAAACCAACACTTGGACGAATAAAAATGATTTCCGCTTGATATAGAATAAGATGTTATCAAGCAAATAAATGAATTCATTTGAACTTACTATAAATACCAAGCAGTGATTACTCGGTGCCCCAAAGTGTTTTTTATAATTTAATCCATAGAAACAATCTAGTTCGGCAAACCGACAATAACAGCTAGCTGATTCCTGTGATCAAGAATTAATTGTCATCATAATTTAAAATGGAATGAAATCTAAATATTACGTTATAAGTTTCGATATTATTATATATACGAAACGCTGAGAACGTTTCCTTTTAGAACAATTGACTGCGGTCAAGGTGACATAAATAAAATGTTATTAAAGAAAAATTTCGTTTTTCATTCCTTTACGTATTGACTTGAAAGAGGAAGTACAATACTAATAGCAAAATCTGTCTATCTTAACAAAGGCATTATGATAGATTTTATTAGGAATGTATTAGAAATTTTTAAAAAGCTATTAGTTGTATAGAACAAATTTCAATACTCTGGGATTAAATTATCATCTGCCGTAGAACAGAAAAGTTATATCATGAGATAGTTTGTTGATGTTTGTTACCACTGCTACAGGAATAACTTTAATCACCGCCTATTACGGCTTACTTACTTTAGAGTCTGATTTACCACAAGTATAAATGCCGTCTTTACGCATTATTGCCAGAACTTTTTTCCATTTCTTACCCTCCTTGATATGTACATTGCCTTGCAATTCAAGTAAATGAGAACCGCCATTAAAAATATCCTGAGTAAGAAAGTGCCTAGTTACCATAATTACATTGTAAGCGCTTTTACATAAAATAGTATAATGTTGATTTGTAATATTACCATTAATAAAACTTGACGCAATTTTTCAGTATTCTTACTACCATCACTTTGGGTAAAGAAGGGTCCCAGGCAATCCTATAAAATCAGCCCTGTGATTTACTTTTGGAACTTTTTGAAAAAGTACACCTCGTATATCTATATGCAATAGTACCGTCTCAAAAAGATTAAATACTTATCAAATCTAATCAACAAATAAGTGATATTCAATAATTATACCGCTGGTCTTTTGATGATATCATATTTTTTCTCATGTAAACGAAGAGTGAGTAAATGATTAATCGCTGTAGATGAAGATTTGCATATATCCAATACAATTTGATGATCCTCTATAGGCCTTTCTAAAAGTATATACGGTAGAAATCAAAATTAAATCAGTAATACGATAAAAATTACAGGTGAAAAAACTGTTGAGTTACAAATATCAATTATGCAGCTTATAGATTAGCCGATGAACTTAAAAAGTACATATATAAATTCTAAAATTTCTTAATTTGGCAATATAATATTTTAATCCTATATTGCAGTATACTAATTTCTTGTTATATTACAGAAATATTGTTACCGGTACTCACCAATTTTATAATCAGGATAATATTCATACAACTGCCAATAAATACTTTCTGCCTGCTGATGTTGGTATACTGCAAGCTGACAAATTTCACTTGCAGGCATGGTCTTTCCGAATTTGATATTTTTATTGCAGTTATTTTCATTACAATAGATTTCGTGAGTGGTCTAAATATTTATAATGAACAAAAACCAATTACTCGCCTACCTAGCATTAACTGTATATTAGAGAATCGGATTACGAATAAAAAACAATGTCTAACGCATTAAGTAATTTTTAGCTGAAGAATTAATAAGCTGATAGCTATAACTGACTCCAATCATAAAAAAATTACTTACTTGTTCAACATCATTAATTGCTCTGTCGGCTACAGCCAATGCAGCAAAAAAATAAAATGAAAAAACAATCAAGAATTTTAGATAGCATCTTGCTAAAATTAAAAATTATGTTATTCAGTCACTTTAGCTTTTTAAGGAGGTATATGCCATAATCTTCAAATTGACCTACATTTAGATTTCGGAGACAAAATTGTTACTCTAGGATGGGCATAGGACATGCTACGTTTGATTTCAATTCCATTGGATTTTTTTTGAGGAACTGACATTATCTGCTGATGATTTCGAAAGCGAACGCGAGTAACACGGCAACTAGGAGATGAAGATACAGGCTCGCGTGGACTATCTTGTTCGTCTAGAAATAAAGAATATTAATCGCATCCATAACTATGTATTAAGACTGTATCAAATGTTAAATTATCTCTTATTTTAATTAACTTCTGCTATTAATATACCTAACAGGCACACTATACAAGCTATCATAAGAATTTCTATCTATCTAAAGTGTCATCAATTAGGTATTTTAAAAAATTGCTTGAATCACACAGTTTGCGTAAATCTTTCTTTTAATATACCAAGATCTTCTTCGCTAATGCTGTTCATATTTTGCATCGAACCCCTTCGAGAATTAATCCTGAGCTATGTGCAATATAGTATGGATATAATTTCAAATAAAAGGACTTTAGCATATTCTGTTACGCGTATTTTCTCTATCGAATTTATTAACCTGAGTGCCATAAGCAATATCATCGGTAATAACTTGGATATCATCCAAGGTAGAATTAAACGAAGGATCGCCTTGATTGTCCTTTGTACCGTTAATCTTAGACATAATGGATTGACGATGATCATAAGACTGAATACCAATGGAAATTAGATCATGGTTTGTTAAATTTCTAGTTGAAGGATAAAAGATGTAGTGTTAATTTGATGAAGGAGTAAGATTTATGAATGACTTTTGCAAAACTGAATCGACATTATCAGATTTCAGGATATAGAGTGTATGTAGTTTAATTCAATAGAACCATTCATTTGATAACGTGAATTTACTGTTGATTGAAACTATTATCGTTTCGAAATTGTTTCAATATTGATTTACCTTATATCAGAAAATTTATATAAGCTAAAATTAACGCTGATGAATAGCTTACTATACACCATAGCAGTATCAATAATTACATGATATACTTGATAATATGATTTGCACTCCATTAAAATAACCATTAGAAAATGGGCTGGCAAAATATAACGATAGCAAGTGTTCAAAAATAACATAAATGCCCAATTTTAAGTACGGTCTTATCAGAATCTATCTTGAGTCGTTCATACTTGTGAAATAAATAATATGTGCACCAAGAAGCTGTATAAGTGTAGCTATCTTGATTGTAACCGAATAAAAAAATATTTTAAAACTGAGATTGTCTTAATGAAATATAATAAATAATTCGATCATAACTTTAACTAACCATTCTATTTTATCACATCGCTGATGTATGCCTTACTATGGAATGGCTACTACATACTAAATATTTTACTGAGTAAGCTGTTTTATTTGAACTATTAGTTTCAGAGTAAATCAAACGAGATTATTTCATCTATAAATTTAATAACCTTTCCACCAGTTAAGAAATACCATCGATTTGCTATGATTTATTTACCCCTTATATATAGACATGGCAAATTTTCATGATAATTTTTCAGCCTGATACACACCCTTTGCTTTACGTATAATTAAACATATGCAGGTAATCTCCTAAATTTATCATTTCATTAATTGTTTTGGTTGTTTATCATTAATAAGACGATAATATCTTCTATCCTAGTCAGCGGATGACAAAGGTTGGAATTTATAATTAATATAGCTTTACGATGGAATTAGTGATACAGACTTTTATTATTGATATAGAATGCTATGATGAATATTATGGTTACCACATAGCGGGATATTTGTAACAGGAAATTAATAGGCCGATCAATGAACAAAATCGACGATAATATCCATTTCAGACTAATTTTTGTTTTGACAGTAAATGTATGAGGCCAAGTCAATCAACCAAATGTTGTGTTTAGAGCGATAGCACAGTATATTAATAAAGCACGATGATATTTAATGACTGAAAAGTCTTGAAATTATTGTTAATTAATTTTCAGGGTGGATATTTATGAAAGCTTATGTATCCTGACACAGATTTTGATCTGCCTCCATAAATTGAGTCTGTATGGCGAAGGCATGGGTTTTTTACGCATCCATTTTAAATCATTCCTCTAGTCAGCTGCGGAATCAGTTATGAGGAATACAACTGTTTACACAGTCCTTTTAGGTCGGTTTATCAGAATAGGGTAGGTTTATATTTGTAATGAAAGCAGTTAGTAAATATTTTATGCTGTATATCTAAATAGACAGTCAGATGGTAGCTGATCCATGCTATCAATGGAATGTTGGTTTCAACAATTCCATTTGTAATTATGATATTGATAGTAAATTTCGAATTTAAGGACTGATCAAATGATCGCAATATAGTATGTTTCTTAGCGCAATTCCATAAAACAACTTCATGATTACGATATTCAAAATTTTAATTAGATGTTGTAATTTAATATCTGTCATATTAAGAATAATTTCCCTAATTAATGAGTAAGGGTCGATAAATTTTCTCTAATGAAGTAGAATGAAAAATAGTAAAAATAATAATAAAAAAAATTTTTTTTAAGGCGGAGAGATGTGAGAACTAATATTATAAAGCGCCCAAAAACTGTTTTACATCTCAAATTTATCATAGATCCTTATAGAGCAGCCCAAAATAAGCTTAAGACTAAGATTATATTGGTAGTTGTAAGACGAACCTAGTCTTATGTCATGAAGTGAAGTTTACAAGAGAGTGTAGTTCTTATTATATTTTTGAGAAGACACTTTATAACAATCCTAAAGAGCGAAGCTGATGTTAATGATCTTGAGGATTTAATCTTATAGTGATGAAGTAATAAGGACAAAATCATAATATGGTTCTGTGCACTTCAAGACATTTTAAAAGAATATAGGATATTTTTAATAAAGTATACTAATCATTTAAGCTAAATCATTTATCTATACTATCCGTAGTATATACAACTACAATCTAGTTTAAAATTTAGAAAGATTCAACATTGATAAATCCATTTGGTAAAGGTATAACCTTATTGATCGATATAAAGAATATTCTGAGTGAAAGCTAAAGTATTCCATTAAAGCCGTAGCCTGCCTATTAATCAATCCATATTATATAAATCGTTGTTTGTAATTGCAATCGTTTTTATTAACATTGAGATTGAATACTGACGAGTTTTACTGTAATATGATCATATATCAATTAACAAGAGATAACATTTGATTGAAGAAATGGAGTGTAGTAAGATAATTGGTCGCAAGGTGGAACTAACGATTCTAAAAATAACAGCTTAGAAAGATCAATTGAAAAAATTAAATTATGATATTGAGGGACAAAATTAATCGTTTACATTTTCTATGGCATGTAAGGTGAGATAAATTGTTCTGAAAGTGCTGCACTTCGGGCTAATCATACAATACCGCATGAACAAGTTAATTAGAAGATGATGCAATTAGTTCAGTGCTGAGTAGCAGTACTGAAATTGTGGACAAGTACAAGCAAATATTCTAATGGTTTATAATAATGTTGTCTCTAAATGGATCATGCTGGCGCATTAGATTGTAAGATCATACAAAATGTCTATTATACCTTGACTGAAGACGTAATTCATAAAAGACAATGAAGTAAACGAGAAATGGATATTTTTGCCTTCTTATTTTAAGACACTTTATAATAGGTATAACTTTTTTTTTAACCCAGAAATAGTTTAGATTACTCGTTAATGAAGATATGCAAACATTCTTAAGTATCACTTGGGATTAGAGTAAGGAGATGATAGATTAATAGAGGCAAAATCAGCTTGTAATCAAAGCTTTGTGCTCAGTCATGGTTTACAATATGGCGTTCAGGGAGAAATAAAAAATTATCAAACTATTTCATTTCGAGTTGGCAATTGTCGATCAGTAGAGTAAATTATCGGTCACATCATCATTTAGATAAAAAGATTGACTCGATAGATAGTGGTTGATATAACTACTGGTACTATATTACTTACCTTCATAATCGTCTTAGATTATTAATTCTACCTTTAGTGATCAATTGGTTGATTTTCGATGTAATTTTCGACGGATTGATCAACGAAACAGCGACAGAAAGAGTTGAAGGCTGAATCGAACTTTCATATACGCATATACAGTATACTAGTACAAGTGTTTTCTAACAATTTTTACACTCTATTCTCTCTCTACTTGCTGTAGGATGAATGAATATCAACGAATTGGCGTACCCGATTTCGACCGGAATAGGAATCGTCTCAAGAAGCAAAAAACCTTTATTTTCACCAAAATAAAATGAAAAGGATGAATCTTGATAGTCTGTTCTTTAGTACTGATATCAAGTGATTTTCACCAGTTAATGCACTATTCTATCGTGAATAAAACATAGAACTGATTGGCTTATCCAATTTTATTCCTGATAGAAGTTACATGGTAACAATTCTTTATAAAAGATCTGTATTAGTTCATTTCCAGTAAAATGGTGCGACAAAGATCTATTGTCTGATAAATGATTAGCTGCTTATTGTATGCTTGCATTGGAAATTTGTTTAGTTAACATCAACACCATTTCTTATATCTATTAAACGATACTTAATCTGAGGGGTACTTGCCTTGTATGATCGAGCGGAAATTATCAAGTATCTACCCTATCATTCTTATATGAATAGTTTAAGGAAAGGCCTAAGACAATAGCAATAAATGATTCATTTAATTCTTATGATAAAAAATGATGACAAAATGATGTTGGTAATTAATGAAATACGACTACGCGTATTCAAGGCGATACTCTGAGTAGAAACAAATATCTTTTGCCTTATTCACAAGCAGATCGATGCCCGGACGTAGCAAGATTTTATGAAGGGTGTAGTAAAATTTTCAAAAATTACTCTTCAATCTTAATATTTATTCTAAGCATGAGGATAATATCAGTAATTGTTGAGTCTCGACAGTAGAAATGAATCTTTCGAGCTCATGAGATTCAACCATTGCTAGATCAAGAAATGATCCATTTTACAGCAGTTGAGAATAGTTTCTGTCACCTTGTCTATCTTGACATTAAAGATGGGAGATATTACATAGACTAATACCAATCATAGCTGTAATTTTATCTCAACTTAGAAGGATATAGAACTGGCAAGAAATCCCTATTTAATACAAACTTGATATCTTATATAGTTTATAAGCATAAAGAAGATCATAACTGACAGCACCAGATAAGATACGGTGCATATAAGTCAAGTTTTCACCGGCCGTAGCTAGACATTGTTAACGAAATGAATGCAGGTGATGAACAGTTTCCGGTAGAATTAATTTTAGTGTATAGAAACTTATTATATTTATAGGTTCATATTCGATATTTTGAAGATTAATTGCATCTCTTCATGTAGAAGAGTATCATTGAGTTCCGCTAATACAGTCAATATATCCAGCCGATATCCAACGAACATGACTGTAGAGTAGAGGAAATAATAACTACCTAGTGTTAATTTATAAGAAAAGTCATTCAAATGTTTTGATCTTATCCTTGTACATTTGAGCAATATGTTTGGGGCAAAATTGCCATCTTACATCTTTTCTCATAATAGCGCTACATATCCATCAGGCGTATCTAAAAAGTAAGAGTGATAGACTACTTTTGTGCTCCGAAGGAAAAGTAAATTTTGTGAACACTACGAATAAAAGCGACCATT